TACGAACAGGTGGAAATTACGCAGCTCATTTACACACTTTTCATGAAGATAGAAGAGTTTGTTGAATCTGACGTGACATGTTCGTACGAACCCTTCGTACGAACAAAATTAAGAGAAATTTAGGATAAGAATACGAACATGTTCTTGCAAGAGGCCCAGTATTTACTGTCTGCAGAATGTTGTCACTTAGTGCCCTTGGCGGGCCAAATGGGAGTCACCTGCAGGCCACATTTGGCCCSCGGGCCTTGAATTTGACACGTGACTTTGTAGATAAGTGACACATATGAACAAAATGTGTGACAGCTTTCACCCTCAACTGTGAACCACAATGTTGATCAATAACATTTAAAGACCTTGGTTAGTGCTTCTAAATTTAGCTCATAAATTTAGCAAATGTTAATCCACCAATGTATTTTAAAAAATAGCAAAAGTCCTAAAGCACTAATCAATAAATTAGCTCCCCTGTTTAGTGCTTTACGGGAATGGTGCCCTCCACTGGCTCTTTCTTTTAAGTACTTTGTATACATCTTCATATAGGTTATGTATTTCATTTAATTGTAAGCTTTGCAGTAGTCATAAATCTAAAAGAGGGCATATTGTTTTGATTCCTTCTTCAACAAAAACATCTTCAGTGCGGGAAAATGTTGGCACAAGTTGTCTGTAAAATTATACTTTGACAGGGCCTTAAGCAAAACACTTTCCTAATGATTAAACTGCCAGATGAATTATTGATATTGTTTGGAGCTTGTGTTGCAGTGGAAACAATTCACTTTAATTGCTAAAAAAAGTACAAATTAAAAAGTACAAATAGTTCTTCTAGTAGTCCTCCTGTCACCAAACAAATCTCAAAAYCGGCAAAGATTTCTTTTTAAATAGTGAAAATTGTGCAACAAACACCATTTAAAAAYGTAACCTGAGATACAAACATGTTGCTGTCTGAGTTGCACTATAGATGTGATATATAATGCAAAATATAAACATGTTTTGACAAGATTCTCCTGGTTGAACTTTTTTCTTACCCACACTACCACCAGCACATGTCCCCAGCAGGCTCTTAGCCCTCTGTCGGACATCCACCGGCAGTTTGTTGCTCTCCAAAAGCTGGGGGTAAAGACACGCTGCAAGAACCTGTGAGACAGTAAGATTTTTGATCAACACAAAGTCAACAACTCTGGAGAGGTTTTGGAGGATCTTGTSTTACCTGTCTGACAAATGATAGAGGCTTTACACCTGCCCTGTGTGGGTCACCCCAGCAGACATTTATCATCTCCTTGTAGGGCTTGATTACACCCTGTGGACAGGTGAATAGAAAACAATTATGCAGCACACAGAGAAAAGAGGAATTCTGCAGCTATGCAACATTAATTAAATACCTTTACCTGTTTGAGCTCCTYATCAATTTGACTTTTTTTTCTAACTAGGACTGAACAATCCATTGGCTTCATGTTCTTTACATTAGAGCTGATCTGMAAGACAGACATCTTTGTGATTTGTCCTCCCTCTCTGACCAGAAGCTAAAATGATGTGAGCAGAACTGTTTCTTTTTATCTCATGGAGCAAGAGAATATGTTTAAAAGTTAAAGTTGTACATGCATATACATATTAACAAACTGCGCAGTCTCCTGATAGGGTGGTTGTTGTAGCRGATTACTGTTAATAAACACAGGAGTCTCTGGTTGACAGCCAGCTGAGGGAGTTTTATTGGAGTTGCAAGGTTCAGACAGTCCCAKCTTAAAACAATGAGAACCAGCCCCACCGAAATGGGGAGCTCAATATTTATACMTTCATYCTGCATCATCAGATTAAACCAAGCCAAGATCTGAGAAGGCTGTTCACAYACACACACACATTGGAAACCTTTTATATAACGTTTCCTGGAAATCATCAGATCTCACTTTTCCTGTTAATCAGTCCACCCCGTTTTGTCTCCATTGTAAACAAAACTTGCGTCCCACACACACCAATGAAAGTAACTTTCTGACATGTTTTTCTCTACTTTCCAGAACATTCTTGACCAAATATGGCAAACTGTTAATAACAGAACTGCTAACTGCCACTTCATGATCTGCTGTTGGCAGGTGGGAAAGGTCATCTCGTTGTTTAACTTAGCCCACTTTAGAAAAAAACATAAAGTAAACAAAAATTAACATTTTCGTTATATGTTAACTTTTAGTGGTGACTTGATGGTTTTTTCTTTCTTTCTTTCTGGGCCTAAATGGATCTGCTTTGTCTATTACTTATATTTAATCTGTTACGTCCTTTATTATTTTATTATAAAAAAGAAAGAGTTATAGTAAAATAAATTGCTTTTTCAAACTGGCTGTCTGACTGAGTTTGTCCAAATTAAACAGCTTTTGCTGCACAGCTCTGAAAAGACAAAATCTCATTATGAAGTGAGCTCAACTACTATAACAACTGTTTTTATATGTTTTAATTTATTTAGTTTGTTTTTAACATGTCTACCAACTGACAATAACTTAATATAGGTGAGTGCTGCTGACAGCCCACATTAATAATGTTCAGCTATACTTACTGATATTTCACTCTTTTCATTGGCCACTTTACACTCTCTTATAGTTGCTTTTAATAAAAAAATATATAAATAAAGTCAGCCAATCACATGGCAGCAACTCACTGTGTTTAGGCATGTAAACGACAAGAATAAGGAAATKATTGTTTTGTTTTGTTTTATCTTGATTTGTTTTGTTTTGTTGTAGCGAAACCTTCAACGTGAAGTGATGAGGTCGGCCGCTTTCTTCACGTCTCAGTTTCTCTCCGGACGTAAATAACAGACGTGTTCTTCTACTTCCTGTTTTGTTTTTCTTTCGTTCCTAGTCCGCTCAGCCCGGGTAGAAATGGGAGAATATTTAAGGCGAGACAACATTTGTAGCCTGACCATAAACAAATACATTTTCTTTAAACAGTGGCGGACCTTATAGACACAACAGYCGTAGCGGGCAGCAGCAACGAGCCTCCCTCCACCCCTGGGGTCTGCGACATGGCACTCAGCTCGGGCAGCTGGGCTCCTCCAGCCTCGGTGACTGCCTCGTCCCAACAACAGGCGACATGCTGCGGCGGGCCCGGCCCTGCAGTTTGCTGCAGCACTGTTCTAATGTCAGTCCGCGTGTCGGTGTCCCATTCCGGGATCCGACCCCTGTGCCTCCCCGGAGCAGGCAGCGAAGCTCTGCGCCTGCAGCTCAGCATGGACCCGAGCCGGGCCGGAGAGTTCCGACTAGCGCTGAGAGATACGAGCGGAAACCGCAGTGTGGTGAGATGTTCACACCTGTATGTTTAGTAGAATTTGTGTTGTTAACTGCTCATTATGCAAGGAGCTAACGTGTTCGGACCACAGTTATCGTTACAGGCCTGCTCAGTACACGCCATTTTAAAGTAGGCAGAAACATGCAGCCCTGCAGAATTATAGTTACAACTGCAAACAGATGAGTGACTTTACCAGAGTTGTGTTTAAGGAGGGTTTTAGTTTCACTTTTGTTTTCATCTTTTCTGAAAATCTTTATGCTGGGAATCCTTCATTCCCTTTATTAACAACCATAAGTCAGGCATGTATTACTCATAAAAATTCGACACGTGATTTACTTTGGCACAATATAACTATTAAAATCTTTAAATTGTGATTTTGGTCTTGGTATGGGCCCTCAGACATGGAGCTTATAATTTTTTTTATCTTTTTCTACCAAACGAAATGAACATAGGTTACATAAAGCCTCTGTAGCTTAAAAAACTTGAGTTCATTCTCTACAGTTCTGAGAAAAGTCTCTCTAATGGGAAATTTGGCATCTTCAACTAAAAAAAAATTAAAGTTCAGTAAATGGTCCACAGAGGGGTGAGGGGTTGCTTTTTTTTATTTTGATTTATTATAAAGAGAGGTGTTTTGAAACTTAAACCTCACAGAAAGTCAAACATTTTAACATAAGGACTTGTGTGGTCCTTGCTTAATGCTTACAATTAATTAGGATGTTAGTCAAAGTGTAAATWCATGGGGTTGATAGTGATTTAACTGKTTTTTATTCTCTTGCTGGCTCAYCAAATTCRAACCCAAGTCTTTTTATGCATGGTTATTTCAGATACTGTATGTGCTATACATAGTCATTTGGCTTGAAACAAATACTCATCTATGCTGCTTTTGTTTCCAGACAGCAGCTTTCAGTGGCCTTAAGTTCCCTCTGGAGATGCAATGAATGAACAGAAGCAAATTARGCAAAAGAGTCATCTCAGTTGCCAAATTCCCTCCCTCATGAGTCTGTTTCAGAGTGAACAGTTCAGTCGCTGTCTGCTGTATTGAAGGGCATTGTTTTTTGTTTTTCWTTTGTTCAAAGTGGACATWTTCCAGTTGTGGTTTGCGCTGAAWGTTTTTATTTTRTTTCAAGTTAGGTTAAAAATTGTAATGTGTTGTGCCACATAAATGACTTCACTTATTTCTCAGGGTGACTTTTATCATCATGTCAACAAAAAAAGTCAGATGATTAAAAAAAATTGTCAGTCCCTGTTGAGAGAGTATTGTTGTTGGCTTAGTTTTGTGTTTTTATCTTCAGTTCATTGCAGAGTTTGACTTGCGCTCGGTGCAGTACGAGGTTAAGTCGTCGCGCTGCCATGAGATGCGTCTTGCCGCTCCGCCTCACGACTGCATCCGCTTCAACTTCCGCTGTGACCGAGAGGCCGAGGAGTGGGCCACTGTGGTGATGTCATCACTGACAGAGGCCCACAGAGGTCCGTTTTACATCTTTTTCTTTTCTGCCTGTTTATTGCTTTAAAAATAATATTAGATGCTTGCATACAACATGTATTATATACTATATGTAAGAGTTATGTGATGTGATTTGCACTAGAAATTCTGAAAAAAAATTCAATAATAATAATAATAATAATAATAATAATATTAGACAGAATGCATAACCATTAAAGATTCATGTCAGAATTAAAGCTCAAACTGTCACAAAGATTCAATGATTTCAACTCGAGAGAAAGAAAAAAACACTTGCATCTGTAGTTTTTCACACTTCTACGGTGATAAGTTGATGAGAATTATATAATTTTATCAGCCTCAATAAACCCTGACCTTATGTTACCAAACACGCATTCAAGCACTTTAGTAACACTTCTCATCTGTCCTCAGTTGCAAATATTAACACGTGTGAATCAGATGGCAAACAGAACAGCCTCGCAGCAGCGACGGAGCCGTGGAGCTCAGCCTCTCTGCCGC